CGGTCCCCTTGCTGGGCTGCAGAGCTGGGCTGGTCAGGCCAGGCGTGGGGGCCTGTGTCTGCAGGGCGTGTTGGTGGTGGGCGTGGCCAGGCCGGAGAGGGACACAGGAAAAGCACCCCCAGTCCCCCAACGAAGCTCGAATCTCTGTCCTCAAGACCCTGTGGCAAGTGGCCATCTCCCCCACCTGCGCCCACTGGGCGTCCCTGGAGCCACAGTGCCCCCTGCTGGTGCCAGGGGCTGTGACAGGCTGTGACGTCCCTCCAGGCTGAACACCCACCCCGTGCCTGGCGGCCTCACAGGTCGAGTAATAATCTGGAAGACTGGCCCTGGCAGAGCCAGCCACCCCGGGGTCCCCCGGCCACCTCCCTGTAGGGCTCTGTGTGGCTCATGCCAGCCCCCGCTGCTCAAGACTGAGGGTTCTGCAGGCCCAGCCAGCACCCCCAGCCTCTCTCACCTGCTGTCTCGGTTGCTCTCACGCCTGTCCACATATTCCCAACTGGAGAATGACGTCTGCGTGTTTGTGGGGTGTCATGGTCTCCGAACAAACAGCACCCCAAACCTGATGGGGGCCACTCTAACCACCTGCACTGCACTTGTGGCTGCCAGGAGGTGGATGGTGGCCTGGGGTGGGGACAGTGCCCCCTGAGCCCCCAGGCCCCCCACCCTGTGCAGGCCACGGGGGGCCAGGCCAGGGCTCAGGTGCCACAGGTGTGGGTGGTGTCCACCCACCAGTGCTTCCATACTCTGCTCACCCCTCTCGAACCCCACTGGGGGCGCCCCCCACCCCGTTCTGCTGTTAGGAAGGTCAGGGCTGGCAGCTGTGGGCGGGGCCTGGGGCACCGAGTGGGTGAGCATCTGCCGGGCCCAGCCCCCCATCCCGCCCGCCAGGCCAGGCCAGGACAGAGTGTGGGAAGGGCTTTCCGGGCTCCTGGCCAGGCCACCTGTGTCTGCCAAGTGAGCTCAGCCCTTGCCTGTGAGATGGGGCCCCAGCCCTCAGGGTCCTTGGGGGCAGATGGAGCAGGCACGCGCAGGTGGGGCCGGCGCCGGGACTGCTGTGAGCCTGGACTGTGATGAGCTATGGTGAGCACCCGCCCACCTGGCACCTCTCTGATGACCACGGGCACCCAGGTGCACGTCCCAAAAGAGCACAGCCCCCCAGGCCAGTGCCTCGTGTCATCAGGGTCACTCCTTCACTGTCCGGCACTCCCTGAGCACCCCCCATCCATGGCCTACCCTCTTGCCCCTCCCCCACACCGCCTGCACCTGCGGGAGCTGCGCACCTGGCCCGGCCCCTGCCTCCTGGGCGGGGGTGTGTCTGGCAGGCGCCCTGGACTCCTCCAGGTGGCTGTGCTCAGCACACCTGCCAACCCTGGTGTCCTGCTGGAGAGGACAGAGGACTGCACGCCCGACCCTTAGTGGTTAGGGTGTGTGTGTATTTGTGCATAAATTCTCCATAATCCTGCATGATTTTGTATCTAATCATTATTGTGTCACTATATGATGACCATATTGTTCTAAAGCAGGAGGCATCACTCTGCTGAAAGCCATCAGTGCCCCCCCCATTTTATCATGAGAAAGTTAAAAATGCCCCAGGACCCATGCTGGTCCCTGGCCACGCTGGACCTCCCGCCCTCCGGAGCCTGTGGGTGCAGAGCAGGGGGGACCTCAAGTACATCAGGGCTGCAGGGGTGCTGAGGAGCCTGGGCCTGCGCCTTGTCCCGCAAGTCCCCATCTGCTGGGGAGAGGAAACAGGGTGGAGCAGTGGGGTGGGCGAGGGAGAGGGTGTGAGCAAGGAGGTGACCGCCCAGCATGGCCAAGGTTGCAGAGTTGGGAAAAAGGAAGGGAGGCCCAAAGTGGGGTGACTTCCAGAGGTTTGGGGTACAGGAGGGTCAGATGTCCCCCAAGTCAGCTGGGAAAGAGGGGGCTCTTCTGGAGGTGGTGGTCCTGCAGCCCAAAGTGGACCCTCACCCGACTGACCTCCAGACTCATGGAGCCCAGCTGCTGCCTGCCCCCTCCTTTGACACAAGAGGAAACTGAGGCCAGAGGTAGGACTGGCCCCAGGGCTTCCCATCTGCCCTGGGCACCTTGTGGGGCAGGGTCCCTCACTGGAAGGCTGGCGGTCCAGCTGGGACCACCCCTCCCCCAGAGCCTGAGCACTTGGGGCCCACCTAGGGCCCTGCCAGCTTATCCTGGGACCCCCACAGCCCTGAAGGAAGGGTTTCTCTCCCTCCCCAGGTGGGTGGGAGGCAGATGGTGAAAAGCCAGGTAGAGGCAGAGTGGAAAATGGGGGGAGGGGTCCCAAGGGTAGTTTCCCCCAAGCCTCTTTCTGGGCAGGGGCCACTCCCTTCCACCCAGCCCTAATCCCTACACTAGCACCTCGAGGCAGAAGCCCAAAAGTATTCAGAGGGCTTCTGCACCCCCAATTTTGGGGTCCCTAGCCTCAGAGGAAGGAGGGTGATCCCCAAAGGGCTACTCCATTAGCCCTGGGGGCCTCCAAGCCTGGAGGCGGAGGGGCCCCCTGCCCTCCGGCATCTTGGAGCCACCAGTGCCAGGGACAGTCCTGGCCCAGAGCCTCCCCTGGGCAGCCTGGCCCTGTCCAAGCTGGCCAAGGGCACAGATGGCCCAGCACCTGCACAGCCACCCCCAGTCTGGAGAGAGGAGCAGAGCCTGAGCCTGCCACTGCTCCCACCCCCCACACCACCTGCTCCAAAGCAAGCAGCACATGGGTCCACAGCGCCCTTCCCCCACCCCACCCTCGCTCCAGGGCTCTCCTCCCATGCACTGGCCCTGCGGGAGCGGGTGTTGCACACACGTTTAGACACACACATATGCATGCTCACACATGCGCACGTGCATACATGCACACACGTGCACACACGCACTCCCAGGATAGGAGTTGAGGAATGCAGGTACGCAAATCACTGCCACACCCACCAGGAGGCCAGAGGAGGCGGGAGGGCGCTGGCTGCGGCGGGGAGGGGCTCCGAGAGCAGGGGCGGCCTGAATTGGGCACCCAGGGGTGAGTCCAGCCCGTAGGCGACTGTGCGGAGGAGGCTGTTCCAGGCAGTGGGCCTCAGGGGACACGTCAAAGGAGGCGAGTGGACGGGGGAATTTGGGGAGCACTGGGAGTCTTGGGGGAGGGCAGGAGGTGGCTGGAGTGGGGACACTGACAGGGGGCAGGAGGGTGAACGATATGGAGGTGTCCAGTGGCCTCAGCTGAGACACCAGCTTGGGAGTCCCCAGCTCATGGTGGCATTTAAAGCTGTGGGATGAGTGGGAGCCCTGGGACCCTCAGCATTCCCGGGCGGCTGCTGGTGCTGACCGTGGTCACTGCAGCCTGGGAGGGCCTGCACCTGGCCTTGCACCCACGGCCCGGGCACTGGCCGCGGCTGGGTCTAGCCCCGTGCAGGGGACAGCAAGCGGACCAGAAGAGACACGCTTTGGTGATGCCTTGAGACAAAACCCTGAAGGCACAAGGGAGCCGCCTCTGGGACTGGAGGCAGCGCCAAGGTAGGAGCAGCCCGTGCAAAGGCCCTGAGGCCAGAGCGTGCCAGGGAGTTCCGGAAACAACGCAACAAAGAAGGAACTATTCCTCGGGTCCCCGGCCCGGCCCCCCAGTTCACCCCCGCCGTCTCAGGCAGTCCTGACCTCGCCTCTCCGCTTCGCAAGCCCAGCCCCACCCAGCTGCCCTCCGCCCCGCCGGAGTCCTTCTAGCCTGCACCTGCCCTGTCACTCAGCCCTCGGCCCCGCCCCTCCAGAGGCTCCGCCCCGCCTGGGCACGAGCTATTGCACAGCCCCGCCAGAGGCCACCGACGTGTGTCACTCAGCCCTAGGCCCCGCCCCTCCCCGCCCCTTGTCTCGTCAGAGTCCTCCCACGGGCTGTCACTCAGCCCCGGCCCCGCCCCGCCCCGTGCACATGCCGCTGGGCCCCGCCCGCGCACTCTGCTGTCACTCAGCCATAGGCCCCGCCCCGCCCCCTGCCTCGTCAGAGTTCTCCCACGGGCTGTCACTCAGCCACGACCAGGTCCGCCCCCCTCCCCTGCCCCCCCCACCCCCGTGTATGTGCTGCCAGGCCGCACCGGCGCACTCGCGCTGTCACTCAGCCACAGGCCCGGCCCATGGCCGGCCCCCGCTCCATCACAGGCCTCCCACGGACTGTCACTCAGCCCCGGCCCTACCCCGTGCACGTGCTGCCAGGCCCGCTGCGCAGTCGCATTGTCACTCAGACACTAGGCCCCCCTCCGGCCCCGCCCCACCGGCAACATAGCTGCCCGGCCCCGCCGCGCACTTCGCGCTGTCACTCAGCACTAGCCCTGCCCCGCCGGCAACATGCTGCCCCGCCCCGCCCGCGGCACGTCGCGCTGTCACGGCAGCAACTTTAGGCCCCACCGCCGGCCCCGCCCGTGCACATGCACCGCCCCGCCTCGCGCACTCAGCCTGTACTCATCACTATGCCCACCCTCTGCCCCGCCCGTGCACATGCTGCCCGGCTCCGCCACAACTCGGCGCGTCACTCGAGCACTTGCCCGCCCCGCCCGTAATGCTGCCCGGCCCGCCGCGCACTCCGCTTCACTCAGCACTAGGCCCCACCCGGCCCCGGCCCGCCCGTGCCATGTGCCCGGCCCCGCTTCGCGCACTCGCGCTCGTCACTCAGCATAGGCCCGCCCCCACCGCCGGCCCCGTGCACATGGCTGCGCGGCCCCGCCCGCGCACTCGCGCTGTCACTCAGCACTAGGCCCCGCCCGGCCCCGCCCCGCGCCCGTGCACATGCTGCCGGCCCCGCCCGCGCGACTCTGCGTGTCACTCAGCACTAGGCCCGCCCGCCCCGCCCCGCCTGTGCACATGCTGCCCGGCCCCGCCCGCGCACTCGCGCTGTCACTCAGCACTAGCCCGCCCCAACCCGCCCTGCCGGTGCACATGCCCGGCCCGCCCGCGCACTCGCGCTGTCACTCAGCACTAGGCCCCGCCCTGCCCTGTGCACATGCTGCCCGGCCCCGCCCGCGCACTCGCGCTGTCACTCAGCCGCTAGCCAGCTTCGCTCCTGGCGGGAGGCTGAAGTCGCTGCCCGCGTCCCGCACCGCCGCTGGCCGCATGGGCGCCGCGCTGCTCCTCGCCCTCGGGCTGCTGGCCCAGGTAAGGCACCGGTGCCCGTGGGGTCCCCGCCTCCGGCCCCGTGTCCCCAGGACCGACCCGAGCGCCCGGGGGCTGTGGGCTGAGGGTCCCGGGTGGGAGCTGGGCCGAGGCCCTAGGCACTGTGGGGCGGGGTGCCCGCGCCCAGGTGGGCTGCGAAGGGAGTGTAACCCGCCTCCGCCTGGACAGAGTTTGGGGGACTCGCCCCAGGACTGGGGAGCCCCGCGGGGGACACCAGGAGACCACTTAACTGGCTGTCCTCCTTTGGGGGACAGGGCAGAGCCTCCCCCAACCCCGCTGGGCCTGGGGCTGCCGGTGCTGTGGTGGGGGCAGGGCTAGAGGGTGGCAGGAGACCCCCGAGCTGGGGGAGCTGGGGGTCCTTAGGGACTCCTTGCCCGTGGCCCGAGCTCACGCTGACCCTGGTGGTCTTGGGTGGTGTCCGGGCCCCTGCCTCCACCGCGACCCGGCCAGCAGGGCAGCTGCGGGCTCTGCCGTTCAGGAAGGCCCCACACTCTGCAGTTCCCCTGCGGGGGCGCCCGTGGGAGCCGGGCCCCCCACGCACCCCACGCCTTGATGTTCACCTGCAGACCGTAGGGCAGCAGCTGCCCCACAAATCTCGGGTCCCCTGGTACTGTGGTCTTCAGCAATGTGGGCACAGACAGGGCGGGAGGAGGCACAGGCCTCTGCCCCCCCACCCCCACCACGGGCACTCCCTGGACAGGCCACGTCCCCTCAGGCCCTGGGGACCTGGGGGTGGAGGATGTGGTCTCCCTGGCCCCTGCCACAGGGTCTGGGCCGAGCCAAGGCCGGGCCTGGCTACGGCTGGGACATCTTCACTTGGAACGGGTCGGCCCCTGGTCTCCTGCTTTAGCAGACAATGGGCTTAAGCGGCCACCACTGGGCATCGTGGCTCTAGGGTGGCCAGGCAGCGCTGGACACTGGTGTGGGGTGTGTGAGTCCCTTCCCAGCTCCCACTGAAGGGGGTTCCTGAGCCCCCCTAATTCCCATGGGCCTCCTGGCTTGGCCGGCCAGCTCAGGTTTCAGCTCCTGGTGCCTACCAGGTGCCTGGCCGGCCAGACCCCCCAGCAGCGGCCCCCTCAGGGCACCCCCGGCTCCAGCCACCTCCCACCCTGCCTTCGGGCATCCACGGCCCCCGCTTGGCAACAGTGGCCCTGCCGCCACGGCTGCCCACGGCCCGCACCCCTCCAGCCCTGTGTGGTGGGCACACCCGCCACCCCCTCTGCAGGGCCCGGACCCCTCACCCCTCACTGGCCCCGGGGACAGCATTTGTTCCCTAGCCCCACGCTGGGCGCATGGGGGCCTGGCACTGTGAAAACATTCCTGGGGACCCTTCTTCTCTGGGTTTGGGGGTGTCTGCTTTCAATAGGCCCCAGGTGGACTCCACTGGTGGGCAGGGGCTAGATCCCCCTCTCAGGCTCCCTTTCCTCCTGGAGGGTACCCCTCCCCCACTTCCCTCCCCCAGGGCTATGGCAGAACACCCCTCCCCCCAGACAGCTGGAGGCTGGGGGGTCATGGGGGCTGCAGTGGCTCAAATTAGCTCAGACCACCGAAATATATCAGTCAGGACCTTGCCACCCCTCCCCCACCTGTCCGGGCTGCCAGACTTTTGTCCTCTCTGTCCAGGCACAAGGTTCTGTGGCCACCTGGGCACCCCATCCTCACCTCCGTGAGCCCCCAGGTGGTGGCCTAGCCCAGCAGGGCCATCTCAGACAGCCCCAGGTGGGACCTGGGTACCTGTACATGTCCACGGCTTGCACCTGGGCCTTGGCTGAGGCTCCAGCCTTGCCTGCCCTCTCACCTGTAACACCCCCTGGGCCCCAGAACGTGGGGAGGGAGGTGAGGACCGTGTGTCTTCCCAACAGTCCCCCGACTGCCCCACCACCCCTGGCCACTGGTCCAGCTCCTGGCACCCACCCCAGCTCGGGGATGGGGGAGTGTGGATGGTTCAGAGGGCCCCCCAGGGGGCTGGGAAGGGCCCCCCCTTGCCTGCGTCTAGGCCTTGGGGAGCCACCTGGTCTCTGGGGAAAAGACGGGGGCCTCCTTGCAGACGAGGACGTCCCCGTGGGGTACGCTGGCTCCTCCAGGGCCGGGCCGGCGAGGTCTGTGCCGTCAGCAATGGCGGTGACGGTGACGGGAGGGCACAGCTGCCCTTCCTCCCCTCCCCCACCCCTGCTCACCACCACCCCAGCCCCCCAGCCCGCAGCAGCTGGAGAGGGCGGGGCCCGCAGGGGGATGCTGGGGCCACCCCGGCCCGGCCGACAGCTGGGCCCATTCCTGACGTGCCGTCCAGCGAGGTGGCCTCGGATTCCAGCCCGGGGAGGGGTTCGGGCCTGAGAAGCCAGTGGGGTGTCCGGGCGGGGGGGGGGGTGCTTCTCGCCCCCTCCCGAGAAAGCCCCACCCACGGTCCCACCAGGCAGGCGCGTTCCTGGAGTCTGGAAGTGGCTTCCCTTGGAAAGTGGACACTCCCTCCCCTTGAGCCGGGCAGGGGCTGTGGGGGCCGGGGCGGGGGGCAGTGGGCAAGACCCGACACTCAGCCTTCCCTGTGGGTCGATGGAGCCCAGCAGAGCCGTGAGCTGGGTCCACGCCGCAGAGAGGGAGCCGGAGACCTGGTCTCGGCGTCAGTCAGTCCCGCCACCCGGAGACCAGCACCGCCACCCGGGCTCAGGCCCAGCCTACGGAGGCAAAGCACCTGTCGCTGTGCAGGGCGCGGCGTGGGGGATTATCCACCCAGCAGCTCCCTGGGGTTGGGGCTGGGGCTGGGGGTTCAGTCCCAGAGCTTGGCTTCTAGAAGTCTCTCTCAGAGTCCGTGGTTAAGTGTGTGGTCAAGGTCGTAGAGCCTCCCCTTTGGGGAAGGGGGTCCAGGTTGGGGGCACAGGGAGGAAGGTGCCAGAGCCCACGTCCATGAGGTCGACCCCCCAAGTCTTGTGCCGCACCCCCGTGTGTGGGGTCTGCGTGAGCCCGCAGTGGTGTTGGGCCTTGTCCCGGGCAGCGGATGTCCCGGCCCCCTCAGGGCGGCCCCCAGAGCTGCCACGTCTTCTGGGAGGGGGAGGGCTGGGAGCGCAGAGAACCGGCTGCGAAAACCCCCCTGGGAGCCGGTGGGCTGTGGCCTGCCCGCCCCGCCCGCCCACATCCACCGCAGCCTCTGATCTGGGGACGGGCCCTGCCAAGGCTCTGCGGCCTCCACTGACCTCGTGAACTTGGGCTGTGGACGGGCCGGGCACCCGGGATTCCCAGGGTCCGCCTTACCGGTGCCGGCCCAAAGCCAGCTGGGTGGGCACCATGAGGGACCCCTGGCAGGGGGCGGGGGCAGAGGGGCCAGCCCAGGTCTGGCAGCAGCTGGACAGGGGAGAGGGTGGCAGCTTCTGCCCCCGCTGTGGTGGCCCGTTCTCCCTCGGCTACACGGGGTTCCTGGAGCCTGAGGCCCCCCCAGCTTCCACCCAGGCCTGGCAGGGGCAGGGGCAGGGGCAGGCTCTGCGAGTCTCGGGGTTCCCTTGTGAGGGCGGTTCAGGGCCTGGCTTAGGGCGCAGACCCTGGCTCTGGGTGAACGCTCAGCCCCCCGAGCCTCTCTCTGGAGCTGTGCCAGGAGGTTCCGGGGGCTGCGGGGACCCTGGGGGGGGCAGAAAGAGAGGCAGGCACAGGCACAGGCACAGGCACAGAGGGGCCACGGCCATGTGTTGGACGCAGACCGCATGCTGGGCAGGCAGGTTTCCTCCTGGCAGGAACTCACCCAGCCCTGGAAGTGGCGTCTGCTTTGCTGGTGCAAGAGCCAGCGCTGCCATCTGTCCCCGGTGAGGCCACTGCCCTGGGGGGGGCTGGGAGCCTGCCCCGCCCTCTCCCCACTTCCGGTCTGCAAAGGGTCTGCATCTCTCTGCATGCCTAAGACCCGTGCAGGTGTGAGGCGACCGGCACAGGAGGAGGTAGCCGGGCCCTGCCGGCCAGGTGCCGAGAGCCACCAGGGGACACTGGCTCTAGTTTTAAGTTGCCGCCTCTTGTCATTCTGCCACCGTGTGTGAGGACCTGCTTCGTGCGGGCCTGGGGACAGGACCTCCAGTAGGCACAGTCCCCGCCACCCCACGGAGTCAGCCTTCCTGGGCACCACACCCCCGGGTCCTAGAGGCATCTGGGAGCAGGACCCCAGGCCAGGGGAAGTGTCGGCGCCCAGCCGGCCTGCCGTGGGCAGCGGGAACCCTCAGGGGACCCTTCTCCCCTCTGGGCCTTTCGGGCAAGAGCGGGCGTTGACCTGGCAAGTCGGCCAGACCTCAAGAATTCAGGCTGGGAGGAGCCAGGCACGGCCAGGGCCACCCCAGCCTCAGACAGAGCCAGCTGTTGGGGGAGCCGCCGGCCCCCACTTTCTGCCCACTGTGCGGACCCCCGCCACGCCCCTCACCCCGGGGCTCCGGGGCTGGGACCTGCTGGCCAAGTCCCTGCAACTGTGCGGACTCATTACGTGGAACCACTACCGCCTCTGCTTCTCCCAGCCCCGAGTTCCTGGGGAGCCAGAGCTGCCCCCTGTCCACTTGGCCCTCTCTGCCCCCTCTGCCTCCTGGCCAAGGCCTAGCGCCTGGGGGAAGGGAGAGGCACAGGGCCCTCAGGTGCCCCCGCCAGCCCACACTCACCTGTGACAACCCCGCCATGGGTCCCTGGACCCCGGGGATCTCGGTGAGAACAGGGGGTGCTTTGGGGGCAGGCCCTTGGGGCTGTGGCTTTGGGTCCCCAGGGCCTCCAGCTCAGGGCTCTGACATGGCTGGTCCCAGGCGCCCTGGACGCAGTGTGGGAGCATGGAACCGCCACTCCCGACTCCAGGGAGCCCAGGGGAAGGGCTTCACCCTCGGGAGGTCCTCTTGGGTCCATGGCTCCCAGCACCTGCCTGCACAGGGGGCAGAGCTCAGAGACCGTGCCATGTGACTGTGTTTCTCTTTGTTGCAGAGCCTGGGCCCGTCTGTGGGCAGCCCCGGGCCAGGGAAGCCCAGCATCCTGAACCCCTGGCACCGGCCACCAGCACTGGGCCGCGTGCGGAGGGCCTGGGTCATCCCCCCGATCAGCGTGTCCGAGAACCACAAGCGCCTCCCCTACCCCCTGGTGCAGGTGAGCAGCAGGGCCTGGCTCACCCCAGTGGGTCCCCATTCCCAGAAGGTCTCCTGGGAGCTGCAGGGCCAGAGTCCGGGATTCTCATCCGGGCATGAAGTGCAGCCCCCTCCTTCCCACCGGCCACACACATGCCGAGCTGCCCCCAAGCTGTAAGCCCTGCGGGTCATGGCTTTTCCTAGGGATTTTATTCATCGGACACAGAGAAGACGTTAGCTGGACCTGTACATACCGTGTTTCCCAAAAAATAAGCCCTACCCATAAAATAAGCCCTAGCAGGATTTCTAAGCATTTACCCAATAGAAGCCCTACCCCAAAAATAAGACCTAATGACGGGTGTGGCTACGCAGCGAATCTGCACAACCCTTGCATGTAGTCGCGGAGCGGGAAAGAAGACGAGCAGCCCTTCTCATCTGCCCCCTCGTGACAGCTGCTATCCCAGAGGTGACCAGAAAGGTGCGGACAGCCCCACCAACAAGGTCGGCTCCTCCTGTCAGGTCCCGGTCATCCTGTGCCTGCTGCAAGCTGAGGCTTTGAGGGGAAAATAACACATCTTCTGGGAGGCTGAGGCGGGCAGATTGCTCGAGGTCAGGAGTTCGAAACCAGCCTGAGCAAGAGCGAGACCCCGTCTCTACTATAAATACAAAGAAATTAACTGGCCAACTGATATATATAGAAAAAATTAGCCGGGCGTGGTGCTACATGCCTGTAGTCCCAGCCACTTGGGAGGCTGAGGCAGGAGGATCGCTTGAGCCCAGGAGTTTGAGGTTGCTGTGAGCTAGGCTGATGCCACGGCACTCACTCTAGCCTGGGCAACAAAGTGAGACTCTGTCTCAAAAAAAAAAAAAAAAGAAAAAGAAAAATAACACATCCCCTGAAAATAAACCCTGGAGTGTCTTCTTGAGGAAAACTAAATACAAGACCCTGTCTTGTTTTCGGGGAAACACGGTACCAGGGTCAACTTCCTGCAGGCTTGAAACGTGTCCCCAGGGACCAGGGTCCCAGGACACCCAGGAGCTGTGCCTGGGATTGGTCTTTAGGATGGGGACCCCCTCGGGGCTCCGGGCTGGGGAAGGGCCTGGGGGGCTGCAGAGAGGCAGGGACGCCCCCCTCTTCCCTGGGAACGCCCCCCCAGCCCATCTCCGGCCCCACAGATCAAGTCGGACAAGCAGCCGCTGGGCAGCGTCATCTACAGCATCCAGGGGCCAGGCGTGGACGAGGAGCCCCGGGGCGTGTTCTCCATCGACCGGCTCACGGGGAAGGTGTTCCTCAACACCGCGCTGGACCGCGAGCGCACAGACCGCTTCAGGGTGGGGGCCTGCCCGGTTGGCCGTTCCCTGGGGGGGTAATGCATCCCTCCTCCACCCAGGCTCCTGCCCCAGTCCAAACCACTGCTCCTGCCAGATCTGGGCACCGGACAGGGGGGTGGGCCCAGGGATTTGGGACCCAGGACCTGCAGCCCGAGGAGGCAGGTGTTGGGGAGCAGGCTCCCATTTAACAGCCGGGCAGGTGGAGGCGGGGCTGGTGGAGGAGGGGCTTCGTTCTGCCGGGGGAGGAGCGGGTGGTCTTAACCACACCCAGCTCTCCATGCCGCTGGCCCCGTTTGGTGGTGGTGGTGGGGTTCACGCCAGGTCACGAAGCGGCATGGGCCCTCGCTCTGCGTGCGCAGCTCCGAGCCTTCGCCCTGGACCTGGGAGGCTCCGCCCTGGAGGACCCCACAGACCTGGAGATCGTGGTCGTGGACCAGAACGACAACCGGCCGGCCTTCCTGCAGGAGGCGTTCACGGGCCGGGTGCTGGAGGGTGCAGCCCCAGGTGAGGCGGGCGCTGGCGCAGTCAGGGGCTGGGGCTGGGTCGCAAGTCCCGGCTTTTCCTTACGCAGGAATTCCAGAGCCCTTCAAAGAGTCTGAAAATAAGTAAAGAGGGTCTCCGAGACAGAATTTCCACAGGTCAACTCGAGCCCCTCGAATCCCAATACAATTTCAAATCCAAAAATCAGAGCCTCAGGGTGGGGCTTTCTCAGGGGTCCTGCTCTTCCTCCCAAAGCAAACGACCTCCCCCTCCTGCTCTGGGGGCGTCTAGAGACAGGCAGACCCACCTCGCTCTGTACTCGCGCACCTGGGCCCGGCCGCGGGGCTCTGTGGCCTGGCAGGTGCCCGGGGACTGTGAACTGTACCCCTAGCCCCTGCTCAGGCTTTGAGAATTGGATCCAATCTCCCGGGTTTGGGTGTGGCAGATGAGATCTGGGCGGGGAGTCCACGGCAGCACCTCCTGGGTGGGGGTCTGGTGTGGTACCTGGTCAGGTGGCACCTGCCGGGCTCACCTGTGAGGTCACAGTTTTCCCTTTGCAATTATAAATGCCTTGCGGGCAGGCAGGGGGCGGTCCTTTGTGCAAACGTCCCTGATTCAGCATCCACCGGTGGATTGTGGTCACGATCAGTGGTTGTTACTAACATGGTTACCAAAGGTGGCGTTTGAGTCCCGTCTTCTTCCTCCGCTTGCTACACAGTAGGACTTCCCTCTCACGTGTGGGTTTTTGTGTGTTCCACGCGTGCACATCTGTGTGGGCCGGTGGCTGAGTCCTCAGTGTCACTTCCTGGTGCTCACGTTGGCCCAGACTGGCTGGTGGAGCCACCTGGCCGGCTGCGGTCTGGGCCCTTCCAGCAGACACAGCTGGGGAATGTGCATGTGCAGACACGTGTGTAGGTGTGTGCACGTGTGTATACATGTGCGAGTGCCTGTGTGTATGCACGCATGTGTGTGTGTGCATGGACACAGCAGTGTGCACGTTCACATGTATACGTGTGTGTACTCCTGTGTTTACATGTATGTGCAGGTGTGTTCACACGTCCATCTTCCTCACAACTCGCCCGTCCTCAGGGGCACCCCCACCTCCAAGCCCACTCCACGGGGTCTCTCTCTCCCCTCCGCCCGCGTCCGTGGCTCTTTGATGGGAGAGACCTGGCGTCTGGCTCCTGACACAGGGAAGGGGCTGACAGGCTGACAGCTTCCCATCCCACCTCTGCGGATTTACCTGGTGGGCTGGAGTCTCCACACGGGCCCTTAACCCTTCGAGTGCTGGGCCAGGTCTGATGCTTACTCCTGTTCATCCTGCTCAGTCCCTGATGGGCCGAGCCCCAGAAGGACCCTCTGGCCCAGAGCAGCCCCGCAGGGAGCCCCCAAAGCCCGTCCTCCCGCCCTGCCTGGTCCAACGTTCGTACGCCGGAGCCAGGCATGGGTCAGGCCTAAACCTGGTCGTCAGAGGGAAGATGGTGACAGGCAGGCCGGCCCCCCCACACGTGTCCCCTGTCACTGTGGGGGCTGGGGCTGCCCAGCACTCCTGGGCAGGCCCTGGGGCGGCTCCTGGAATCTGGCGCCGTGTCTGATGCCCCAACCGCACAAGCCCAGCAGAGGGGCCACGTCGGAATGCCCACAGGACGCCCCAGCGCGCTGGGCTGCAGCGGGCAGGGAGAAGCGTGGGGGCCTGGGCTGGCGCGTGCTGCTGGCGCGACCCCAGCTGCACCGGGCCGGTGGGACTCAGGGGGCCCGTGCACACCGAGCGTCCCCGCCACGGCGGCCCACACGCCTCCCCGCCCTTCCAGGCACCTTCGTGACCAGGGCGGAGGCCACGGACGCGGACGACCCCGAGACGGACAACGCGGCCCTGCGGTTCTCCATCCTGCCACAGGGCGGCGCCCAGCTCTTCAGCATCGACGAGCTCACAGGGGAGATCCGCACCGTGCAAGTGGGGCTGGACCGCGAGGTGAGGCGGCGCTCGGACGCCGGCGGCACGGCTGGTGCTGGGTGTGCGGGGCGAGCGAAGCCGCTGGCTGGCAGAGACGATAACTGGGCCCCCCTCCCATGGGTGGCAACAGGTGCCAAAGGCACTGGCCACGCTGGCCCTGCCCAGCCCTCAGTGGGGTTTCTGTCCCACCCTGCAGAGAGCCTCCCAGCCCCCTTGCCTGCAAACTGGGGGCGCCCTGGCTTGGGGGGGGTGTCTTTCCAAGGGGCCCCGCCCTGGCTTCTTAGCAACCACTCCCTGGCGCCCAGGACTCACTAACTTCTGTCCGCCCTTTGCACGCCATTCCTGTGTCAGGCCCCGCCGCCCCACGGCCAGGCTTCATGGCCCCCTGGAGACCCACCCTGCGCCACCACCTCTGGGAAGCCCTCTTTGGTTTCTCCCACAGCCGCCTGCGTGGGGCTCTGTAGGCCACGTGCTGCGTTACGTGGTCTTTGTCCGTCGCGTCTCTGTCCCTGCCTCTCACCGCGGCCCCCACAGCAGGGGTCCCTTTGTGTCCAGTATACAGTAGGTGCTCTGTAAATGCTGATGCGACACCCTCTGCGTACGTACTCACAGGCTGGGGCAAAGTCTGTGGTTGACGAGGATGTCACCGGGCCCCGTGTGCTCGGAAGCAGGCGGGGTTCTCAGAGCTGCGTGTGGGCTCCTGACACCCACCGGCGCCCATGCGGGTTGGCCAAGCCCTGCCCAGCCCGGGCCCCACCTGGGCGCCTCACCCTCCGACCCCGTGTCATGGCGTCCACAGGTGGTCGCCGTGTACAACCTGACCCTGCAGGTGGCCGACATGTCCGGAGACGGTCTCACTGCCACCGCCTCCGCCATCATCTCTGTGGATGACATCAATGACAATGCCCCGGAGTTCGCCAGGGACGAGGTGACGCCACTTCCCCCCCCCTTGGGTTCCTGGCGGGGGTGGGGGCCCCACGCGGGGCTGGCAGCTGCTTGGGGAGGACCTTTGCGTGCATAACCACCAGCCCAAGCTAGCGGTCTGCAGAGCTGGCCGTGCAGGAGCATGTAATGAAGTCAGGAGCTGGGGGAGGCCCCAGGGCCCCCCAGGAGGAGAAGATGGCACAGGGCGAGGTGCCGGCGTGAAGCTGAGCCCATAGAAGGGCAATTGGGGTCCCTGGAGGCAGCAACTCGGGGAAACAGACCAATCTGGAGGTCGCCCGGTGGACGGCAGCCATGCTGGGTGGGAGGGAGGGATCTCCGTGGTGAGGGTACTGTGGTGAGGGCCGGGCCACGTGCCTCGGGGGACCCCCGCCACGCTCCCCCTCCCTGTGGCTGACGGGGTCTGGGCTCCCCAGTTCTCCATGGAGGCCCCGGAGGCCGTCAGCGGTGTGGACGTGGGGCGGCTGGAAGTGGAGGACAGGGACCTGCCCGGCTCCCCCAACTGGGTGGCCAGGTTCAGCATCCTGGGAGGTGACCCCGACGGGCAGTTTGCCATCCGCACGGACCCCAAGACCAACGAGGGTGTGCTGTCCGTGGTGAAGGTGAGCAGCACCCTGGCATACTCCACTCCCCAGCCCGGGGGGGGGGGCTGGCACACCCCAGGCCAGCTGCGCTTCCTGGGTCCTTCCCCTGGGGCGGCCTCCCCTGGCCTCGGAGGACCAGTGAGAGGACACAGAGGAGGGTTGTGGAGGCCCAGCCCCGGGACTGGGCACGCTGGCTCTGCAGGTCCCAGGCCACGCTGGCCACGGGTGGGAGGGACACCTTATACGGTAGCCCAGATTGACAGCACTAGTCCTCTCTATATATGTAATCCACGGGTAAAAGTACTGCTGCACGCCTGTGTTGGAGCCAGTGGGGATACATGTGTGCAGATATATGTTGATGTTGATATAGTAAGAGATGATTGGCCGGGCTTGGTGGCTCACGTCTGTAATCCTAGCACTCTGGGAGGCCGAGGAGGGCGGATTGCTCGAGGTCAGGAGTTCGAAACCAGCCTGAGCAAGAGCGAGACCCCGTCTCTACTATAAATAGAAATAAATTGGCCAACTAATAAATATAGAAAAAAAAATTAGCTGGGCATGGTGGCACATGCCTGTAGTCCCAGCTACTCGGGAGGCTGAGGCAGGAGGATCGCTTGAGCCCAGGAGTTTGAGGTTGCTGTGAGCTAGGCTGATGCCACGGCACTCACTCTAGCCTGGGCAACAAAGTGAGACTCTGTCTCAAAAAAAAAAAAAAAAAAAAAAAAGAGAGAGAGAGAGATTATTGCTAGGGATTGGTTCGTGCAATTGTGGGGTCTGGCTGGGGCAAGTCTGAAACCATCAGGGCAGTTGGAAACCAGGTGAAACTCCGCTGCAGTCTGGAGGTGGAATTGCTTCTTCCCCAGAGAACCACAGTTTTGCCCTTAAAGCCTTCACCTGACTGCAGGAGGCTCACCTGCCTTACTCAGAATAATCTCCCTTATCTATTGTTTTATTTTTATTTATTTATTTATTTAGAGACAAGAGTCTCACTGTGTTGCCTGGGCTAGAGTGCCAGGGCATCAGCCTAGCTCACAGCAGCAACCTCAAACTCCTGGGCTCAAGCAATCCTCCAGCCTCAGCCTCCCGAGTAGCTGGGACTACAGGCATGCGCCCGGCTAATTTTTTCTATATATTTTTAGTTGGCCAATTAATTTCTTTCTATTTTTAGTAGAGATGGGGGTCTCGCTCTTGCTCAGGCTGGTCTCGAACTCCTGACCTCGAGCGATCCTCCCGCCTCGGCCTCCCAGAGTGCTAGGATGACAGGCATGAGTCACCGCGCCTGGCCAATCTCCCTTATCTAAAGTCCGCTGGCCACAGAGGCTGGCCACACCTCTCCCACACCTCCTCAGCAGCCCCCGGACTGGTTCTGTCTGGCCCACGGGGCCGTCCCCAACCCCCCACCCCCCGCAAATTCATTTTGAGTGATGGGTACTTATTTTACTATCTTATATTACTCTTTGTGCCTTTCCGTCGGTGTAATTTTTATTTCTTTAAGGTTAAAAGGGGAAGAAGGGAAGGAGGGCTCTCAGGACAGACCCAAGGCGCGGCTCCCCCTGGGGGACCATCTCTGGGTGCCCAGACCTGAGCCCTAGCAGGTGACAGCCCCGCCCCTCCCACAGCCCCTGGACTTCGAGAGCCGCGAGCTCTACCAGCTCACCGTGTCTGTGCAGAACGAGGCCCCGCTGCAGGCGGCCGCCCCCAGGGCCCAGCGGGGCCAGGCCCGGGTCACCGTGCATGTGCGGGACATCAATGAGGCCCCCATGTTCCAGGAGAACCCGCTTCGGACCAGCCTGGCCGAGGGGGCTCCGCCAGGGACCCCCGTGGCCACCTTCTCCGCCCAGGACCCCGACATGCAGCAGCTGCAGAGGCTCAGGTGGGGCTCAGTTGGGGCCCCAGCATGGGGCAGGCGGCAGCTGCCACCCCGACTCCTGCTGAGGTCACCGCGGGCTCCTGGGCTCTGGGGGGCGGAGGGTGGAGGAGGGGCTGTCTGTCTCTGGGTTTCTGAGGGTCCCAGGGTCTCAAGTCCCACACATGCCTGTGTGTGTGTGTTGGGGTGGCCGTGCCCCATAGTGGGGGGCTGGGCAGCTGGTGCACACTGACGCCCCCCCACCCCCCCATCTGTTCCTGCCAGCCGTGTCCAGCTCTGTCCGGCAGGCCCTGGTCCCCCGGGGCTGGCTGTCATTGTCTTAATCTCTCGCTCCTCATCTGGTCCTGTGTCTGGCTTCACGTCACACGCAAATGGGCCCAGTGCCGACTGGGGTTCAATCCGGGCTGTCACCCAGTTGCCACAGGGCCCTGGCAGCTCACCTGCCCTCCCTGAGCCTCAGTTTCCTCATCTGTCAGTTGGGACAGGGGAGAACTTGCCTCAAAGACTCAGAAGGTGCTGGGTAACCACAGCAGGGCCACATGGGCTGTGTGTGTGCATGTGTGTGTGATGTATGTGTAGGGTGTGTGTAAGGGGTGTGGCTTTGCCATGTGGCCACACTCCTGGGGGTCCCCCGCGTAAGCTCAGGACACCTGCCCTACCCCTCCCCTCCCCTCCCCTCCCCCACAACAGCTACTCCAAGGACTATGACCCTGAGGACTGGCTGCAGGTGGATGGAGCCACAGGCCGCGTGCAGACGCAGCGCGTGCTCAGCCCCGCCTCCCCCTTCCTCAAGGACGGCTGGTACCGGGCCATCATCCTGGCCCTGGACGACGGTGAGCCGCCAGCCCGCCCCTGGCTTCAGGGCTCTCTGACCTGGCTTTGCCCTGGCTGGACAACCCAGTTGTGCACGCCCTGGGGCTCAGCGCTGTGCCCCCTCTGAACAGACTGGCGGGGTGGGCCTGGGCGGGGACACTGAGCCCACCTGCCCCTCCGCCCGCAGCCTCCCCGCCAGCAACAGCCACGGGCACCCTGTCGGTGGAGATCTTGGAGGTGAACGACCACGCCCCCGTGCTGGCGCCGCCGCCACCAGGCAGCCTGTGCAGTGAGCCACACCAGGGCCCCGGGCTCCTCCTGGGCGCCACGGACGAGGACCTGCCCCCCCACGGGGCCCCCTTCCACTTTCAGCTGAGCCCCAGGCTCCCGGAGCTTGGCCGGAACTGGAGCCTGAGCTCGGTCAACGGTGCGCTGCCTCCTCCTCCTCCACCGGGACCTGGGGGGTCGCGGCTCTGGGGTCCTGCCGCGTGTGCGCCCCACGGCTGCACCCTGGGCGGGGTGGGCTTGCTTACGGTGCCCAGTGGACGGATGGGAAACTGAGGTCCAGGATCTCCGGTTGTCCACCCCGTCCAGGCGCGAGAGGGCAGGCGAGGTGGGGGGCCGGCTTGGGAAGGCCCTCGCTCACCGCAGGCGCCCTCCTCAGTGAGCCACGCGCGCCTGCGGCTGCGGCACCAGCTCCCCGAGGGCCTGCACCGGCTCAGTCTGCTGCTCCGGGACTCGGGACAGCCGCCCCAGCAGCGCGAGCAGCCGCTGAACGTGACCGTGTGCCGCTGTGGCCAGGACGGCGCCTGCCTTCCGGGGGCCGCGGCGCTGCGCGCGGGGGGCGCGGGCGTCAGCTTGGGCGCCCTGGTCATCATCCTGGCCAGCGCCCTGCTGCTGCTGCGTGAGTGCCTCGCGCCCTCGGCCTCCCCTCCTCCACCCCGCCCTGCGACCCAGCCCCCGCTCTGTACCCCTGCCCTTGGCCTCCGCTTCCCGGCCCTGGCCCCGCCCCATGTCCTTGGTCTCCATTTCCCCACCCCGGACCCTGCGCGGCACCCTCGGTCCCGCCCCCATTCCCCCCGGCTCTCAAACCCCGCGGACCCCCACCCGGACCCAGGAACCCCACCGGCCCCAGCCTCTGTCTTGTGCCCCCAGTGCTGGTCCTGCCCGTGGCGCTCCGAGCGCGGATGCGGCGGCGTTCGCGGGGCAAGGGGCTGCTGCTCGGGCCCCAGGACGACCTTCGGGACAACATCCTCAACTACGACGAGCAGGGAGGCGGGGAGGAGGACCAGGTTGGGGAGGGGCCTCCCCCAGGTGGCCCCGGGAAGGAGGAGCGGGCAGTGGGGCGGGAACCCCAGGCGGGCCTTCCCAGTGGCCAGGGCTGAGCTCCACCTCCCTTGCCCGCAGGACGCCTACGACATAGCCCAGCTGCGCCACCCTGCAGAGCTGAGCGTGCGGGGCGTCCCCCTGGGCCGGCCGCCGCTGCGCCGCGATGCCCCCTACGGCCGCGCGCACCCCCAGGCCTCGCGAGCGGTGCCCACCAGCCCCGCCGACATCGCGGACTTCATCCATGATGTGGGTGCTCCGGGGACGCACAAGTACACTCGCGGGCACTGGTGCACAGACACTGCATGTGTACATGTGTGCGCATCTGTGCACGTACACATACGGGCGTGGCGTGTACATACACGCGGGCACAAACACATGTGCACACACGCTAAGCCTGTCCAGAGATGCTGTGTTCTGTCGGGTTCTAGTGGGTGAGCTCACCAGAGGGACCCCGAAGACAGGCAGGGTCCCCCAGGCTTGGGTCGCGCAGCCTGGAGCCGGCTCTGGCTACCCAGGAAGGGCTTGGCAAGCGGGGGTGGGGCACATCCCCCCCACAGAGCCACTGGGGCGTCCCCAGGTCTTTGTCTTTCTGTGTTAATGACACAGTAGATGCCAACGTGGGAAATGCATGGGTGGGGCAGCAGGAGAGGGACACACAGGTGACCTTCCCCTACACCTGCCTGCATGCGTTGCACTCAGCTAGGAGAAAGCCCCCCAGCACACGCATGGGGCCGCCTGGGGCGTGGCAGGCACAAGGTCTGGTTGGGAGCACGTGTCCCCACAGCTGAGAGGACAGAGGTGGAGACAACACCCCGGAAGGCAGACCCGCTGGTCCGATGGATGGGGGTGCCCAGGTGGCCTCGTTTCTGAAGCAGACCAGGGCACAGTGGCAGGGGCAGCTCACAGTCCTTGGGGGAAGGGCTGGCCCTAACTCCCAGGAAGAAGAGCTCAGGCCTCGGCAGCCCTCCTGTGCCGGTGCCTCGGGCCACCGTGCCCTGGGCTGTGGCTGGGCGGGGGAGGGCGCCCGCTGGCCCCTGCGTGGTCCTGAGCTCCCCGGAACCTCTTGGCAGGGCTTGGAGGCTGCGGACAGCGACCCCAGCGTGCCGCCCTATGACACGGCTCTCATCTATGACTACGAGGGGGACGGCTCCGTGGCCGGGACTCTGAGCTCCATCCTGTCCAGCCTGGGTGACCAGGACCAAGATTATGACTACCTCAGGGACTGGGGCCCGCGCTTCGCGCGGCTGGCGGACATGTACGGGCACCCGTGGGGGTCGGACTAAGGGCCTGGATTTGGCCGTGGTGATGTGGCCACTGGGCCAGGGAGGGAGGCTTCCTCCTGGGCACTCCTCCGCCAGCGGCAGAGGGCACCTGCCCGACCGTGGGGGGCCGTCTGGACACACCAGCTCCAGGCAAAGTGGCAGAGGTGGCCTCCGACCAGGCAGCCTGAGGGCACCCGGCCCCACACCATGGGCCCCGAGTGGCCTCCTCCGGGAAGGGCCCAAATCCAGGACGCAGGACTCAGGGTGCGGAGGGGGCGGCTGGGGAGGCGCCTTCCTGCTTGTGTAGCAAGTGTTGCCCTGAGTCTCCCCGCTGGGGTCACACCTCCCTTTCCCACCTGTGCCTCCCGTGAGCGGACCTCCTCTTTGTACGAAAGCGAGCAGCCCCTGGGTAAATCGCAACGGAAAACGTGCTAGTCTCTGCAGTGCGGCCGGCGGGAGGGGCGGGTCCTGGGTGCGCGGGGGCGGGGCTTGGGCGCTCAGGTGCGCACGTTGCGCCCGGCTGCGCTGGGGCCTCCGCTGCGAGCTCCAGAACCCGGGCCCGACCTGGCGAGCCCGAGCCAACCTGAGGCCGGGGCCGGGACCGGGACCGCTTCCACAGGTGGGCGACGCCGGGCGGTGGGGGCCTTGGGCGTCCCAGGGCGGGGAAAGGGAGGCTGGGAGGGCTGCGCCTTCCTCTGCGTCTCCGCACTTGGCAGGTTACTAGAGGATTCTTTTGCGAGGTCCTCTTCCAAGTCACTTTGTCACCGTCTGAATCAGTCTGTGAATTTTCTGGCAATGGTATCATCGCATTCCGCATTCGGTGGGGAGAGTGGACGCGAGTGTCCGCTTCCTAGAACAAGTAAGGTCGCAAGGGGTTTTTTTGTTTGTTTGTTTTTTGAGACAGAGTCTCACTCTGTCGCCGGGGATGGAGCGCAGTGGCGTCATCACAGCTTACTGCAGCCTCCAACTCCTGGGCTCCAGCGATCCTCCCGCCTGGGCCTCCCACAGTGCTGGGACTGAGCCACCACGCTGGGCCCAGGTCGCATTCGTCCTCCACTCTGGTTTCTTTGTGATAGCACAGTGAGGAAAATCACACTGGACGCTATGCGGTGGTACTCACACTTTCCTAAGTACTAGTTGGTTTGCTTTTGCTTTGAGAATGGTCTCTGTATTGGCATTAAAATTCCTCATCAGCAGTATTTGACATTTAAGAACGCTATTGGGGGGGGGGCGGCTCACGCCTGTAATCCTAACCCCCTGTAATCCTAGCACTGAGAGGCCGAGGGGGCGGATTGCTCAAGGTCAGGAGTTGGAAACCAACCTGAGGAAGAGCGAGACCGTCTGTACTATAAATAGAAAGAAATTAATTGGCCAACTAATATATATAGAAAAAAAAAGGAGCCAGCGCATTGAGTGGCCTGAGTTCCCAGCTACTCCGGCGGCTGGAGGCAGCAGGATGCGAGAGAGGGTGACGCTAGCTGACGCACGATGGCACTCACGTGTACCCCGTGGGCTACAGAGTGAGACTCTGGTCTATAAGAAAAAATATAAAAAATGCTTATTAGCGTTGTTTTAAAGGTGTTGATTGAAGTTGAAGCATCGAAGTACATCTAAAGTGACAAGCGAGCACGAGCAGGCAGAATTGGACACAGCGAAGCCGCACGCTACACAGGGACAAAATGCCATCAGGTGGAAGGGGGGAAAAGGAAAGTTTCGCAAAAATGACTTCAGTCACTCAGAAAGACGCCGTAGCCAGTCAGCAGCGCTGCAATGTCGCACCGTTTTTTTTTCTTTTAGAGTAATCTAAGATGGTAAATTCAAACTTTTTTTAATATGGTCAAAATGTACGACAGATAGGGAAACTTACTATTTGTATGAACTATGAGCCTTCCATCCTGTCCTTTTTGTTACTAATTTCTGGAGTATCTTTTTCATCCTGTACTTTTATCTAGTGTTCTTGTGGTATCTCTATTGAGTCTCTTCTAGACAGCATATAGTTGGATCACATGTTTTTGTCCATTCTGTCAATCTCTTGTGTTGTGACTGGAGAGTTTAATCCACTTAAACACGATGAGGAGGTGCTTCTGTCATTGTGCTTTTTGTTTTCCATGTGCCTTACAGCTTTGTGGTCCTGCATTTCCATCTTCTGTGTCTAGTTGACTTTTTGTAGCAATGTTGAAATTCCTTTTTTATTTCTTTTTGTGTAAATTCTGTGGCTGTTTTCTTTTTGAGACAGAGTCTCACTTTGTTGCCCAGGCTAGAGTGTGAGTGCCGTGGGTCTGCCTAGCTCAGCAGCAACCTCAAAACCTGGGCTAAGGCGCATCTGCGCCTCAGCTTCGTGAGTAGGGGCACTACAGGGCAGGCACCACCCGATGCAGCTATTTTTTTCTTTACTATATTAGTTGGACCAATTAATTTTCGTTGATCTATGTATAGGTAGGACGGGGTCTTGCTCGTGTTGGCTCAGGCTGATTTGAACTCTGACCTGAGCACGTACCCGGCCTAGGCCTCCCAGGCGTGCTAGGATGAGCAGGCAAGATGAGCCATGACCGCCTGTACTGTTTTCCTTTTGATGGTTAGCCGGGTTTAATGCCCAAAGTCATAACATCAGGTGGAATTTTATAGCCGGGCCTGGCTTCCATGACATAAAAACTCCGCACCTGTACAGTTCCAGCTCCACGTCTTTATATGTTGTGTGCTCAAAATTATAAATCATTATGTTCAAGTTAGTTAGTCCTCTAAAGTATGTAGGACAAGAAATGTGGAGTTAGAAACCAAAGTTAGGCAGGGTGAGGTGGGCTCAGCTGTAATCAAACACTCTGGGAGGCGGAAGGGTGGGAGGATCGCTAGGTCAGGAAGTTCGAACCAGCACCTGGCAAGGGTGAGACCCATCTCCACTAAAATAGAAGAAATTATTGGCAAATTAAAGAATATATAGGAAAATAGCTGGGGCATGGGTGGTGCATCCTGTGAGTTCCAGCTAACTAGGAGCGCTGAGGCAGGAGAGGATTGCTTGAGACCACCCAGTTTGAGTTTGCTGTGCTAGGCTGACACACGGGAGCTCTAGCCCACCCCCGGCGACAGAGTGAAACTCTTGTCTTGGGGGGAAAAGTTTTTCTTTTTTTTTTTTTTTATGGCTTGAG